CGGTTCTCGGTGTTGGGCATGGCAGCAGCTGGCAGGTCGAACTCCTTCTCCAGCTTGATGCGTTTGGAGAAGGGGCTCAAGGAGGTGGGGCTACCCAGCAGCAGCTTTTTGGACAAGCCTCCTGAGGCGGACTCCCCCGGGGAGCAGCCCCGGCCGTTGACCGTCCCCTCGTCGATGCGGTCGGACTCACCGGCCACTGAGTCTTCGTCGCAAGTGTCCCTGTGCGCCTCGGGCTCGGGAAGGTGGCCCCGCTTGTGTTTCTCCCCCAGGACCTGGTGGAAGGCCTCACTGAAGTGCTGCATGGAGCTCAGGACCATGCCCTGCATGACGTCTGGCATCGACCGGCCCTCCTCGCCGGCCCGCGAGTTGTTCTCATGGTGGCGGGCTGCCTCCAGGCTCATCCCAAAGCCATAGTCCGGCCTGTCACTCTCGTTCAAGTCCTCCTCCTCCTCCTCTTCCTCTTCCTCTTCCTCCTCCTCCTCTTCCTCCTCTTCCTCATCCCCATTCTCAGGGATCATGTTGGGGTCAGTCTCGCTCTTGAACTTGGCCACCACAGACTTGAGGGCGCTGCTGGCGCTGCCCACCAGGTCACTGGTGCCCGGCTCGGGGGAGCTGGCAGTGGAGAGCCCGTCGTCCGACTTCACTGTCATGGGGGAGGACTTGTGCATGTGGGTCTTCATGTGGCGTTTCAGCTTGCTGGCCTGTGTGCAGGCGTGGTCACAGAGGTTGCACTTATAGGGCTTCTCCCCAGTGTGGCTCCGACGGTGGACCACCAGGTTGCTCTGAAACTTGAAGGTCTTCCCGCAGAACTCGCAGGACTTGGACTTTATGGTCGGCTGGGAGGGAGGAGGAGCAGACTGCAGAGGAGGAAGGGGCGGTGTGGCCAGGAATGGGGGCTTGCTGCCAGGCTGGAAGGGCTGCAGCAACCTTTGCATAGGGCTGGGCCGGCTCGGGGACAAGGGTGGGCTGGAGGTGTTGCCGGCCAGCTCTCGTAGCCTCCGGGAAAAATCCATAGCAGGGGGCTCCATCGCCATGGGGTTCAGTCGCAGCACCCTGTCAAAGGCACTAGGGTGATGGGTGGCCAGAGCCATTTCTTCCGCACCCAGGCGCTCAATGCGATGCGGATCCAAATGGTGCCTCGGGGGAGGGCTAAAGAGGGGCGGCGTGGGTGGGAAACGCCCTTCTCCCAGCCCCGACGCCTCCCTCGAGACCGAGCCGGGTATTCTGAGCAGGTTAAAAGGGTTATTGTCTGCAATGTGAATCCCGTGGAGAGGTGGCTGGGAAGGGCACTCTGCACCTAGTCCTGTTGGGATACCAACCCGTGGTGTCAGGGGGCTGCCGTGCTCACTTTCTAGGTAGATCCGTAAGCCATGTGTGTTCTGTGCGTGCTGCAAGAGGAACCAGGCGCTGTTGAAAGGCTGTTTACAAGTCGTACATGTGTAGCTGCTGGGCTCGTCTTTACCTGAAAAATAACACAACAAGCAGTGTCAATCTCCGGCCGCCCACCATCAGGCGAGAACTCTCCTCCCCACCTAAGTTCCTCTCCTCCAGGACACTCAGCCGGGAGCTGGGGAAGGCATGTCCCAGCTCAGGCGCAGGAAGGGTGCTGGGGACAGGAGGAGGCAAGGGGTGCGACGGGGAGGTCCAAACCCACCCAGAAAGTGCCCACCTCCTCCCGCCAGGCCCAGCGGGATCAGCAGTTCAAAACCAAACCCTGGCAGGTAACCATAGCCAAAAAAGCTATATTAAAAAAAAACCAGGCGCTCAATGCGATGCGGATCCAAATGGTGCCTCGGGGGAGGGCTAAAGAGGGGCGGCGTGGGTGGGAAACGCCCTTCTCCCAGCCCCGACGCCTCCCTCGAGACCGAGCCGGGTATTCTGAGCAGGTTAAAAGGGTTATTGTCTGCAATGTGAATCCCGTGGAGAGGTGGCTGGGAAGGGCACTCTGCACCTAGTCCTGTTGGGATACCAACCCGTGGTGTCAGGGGGCTGCCGTGCTCACTTTCTAGGTAGATCCGTAAGCCATGTGTGTTCTGTGCGTGCTGCAAGAGGAACCAGGCGCTGTTGAAAGGCTGTTTACAAGTCGTACATGTGTAGCTGCTGGGCTCGTCTTTACCTGAAAAATAACACAACAAGCAGTGTCAATCTCCGGCCGCCCACCATCAGGCGAGAACTCTCCTCCCCACCTAAGTTCCTCTCCTCCAGGACACTCAGCCGGGAGCTGGGGAAGGCATGTCCCAGCTCAGGCGCAGGAAGGGTGCTGGGGACAGGAGGAGGCAAGGGGTGCGACGGGGAGGTCCAAACCCACCCAGAAAGTGCCCACCTCCTCCCGCCAGGCCCAGCGGGATCAGCAGTTCAAAACCAAACCCTGGCAGGTAACCATTTTCAAAAAAGCTATATTAAAAAAAAAAGAAAGAAGAGAATGATTAAGTCAACTGATGTCAGCTACGACTTGGCAGACTTTCTGCTGCAAGAGGCTGCTAACATTTAACTTGGGAAGCAAATAAATAAGTAGGTAAATAAATAAATAAATAAATTAAAATCTATCCCCTTCACTCCAGAAATACACACACATTGGTTCAAAGCAGCAACCCAAAGCATCATGACTGCTAGCAACCTGGGCCACATCACATTATTAGTCTCCTCCTTATTTTGAGAGACGAACAATGTGTAGAAATTTTGGCAGCATCTTCTGCTCCATAGCACAGATATGACTCGGGGGGGTAAAAAAAACTAAAAAAAACTAAAAGAAAAATAAAATTAAATAAATAGAGTGTGGGACAGGGAGAGACGAAGGCAGCGAGAGTGGCAGCTCCACCAGGGAAAATGCTGGAGGGTGGCCAGGAGGCCTGGCTGAGCGCCCTGCCGGATCCACATTATTTCTCTCGCACTGAAAAGAAGCTGAGGATGGTAAATGCCACTTTGGCAAGTAGCGAGCTAACTCTATTTCATGATAATTTATTTTTGGAGATAACACGGACATTATAAAAGAGCAACCAACTAATAAATAACTAAACAAAAAGCCGGCTAATAATGACAGCAGAAAGCAGCCCCTTCTAATATACGGCAAAACAAGGGGAATGAGTAACTTTTTGAGGGCTGTCCACGAGGCAAGAGTGACATGAGATATGGCGAAGGTGAGTGTGCTTCTATCAATTACTGTAATTTTGCAAACAATTCACTTCCACCCCCGTATGGATGTTTTTCACTAAATGTCGGTAAACTGAAACAGGAGCTAAGAGGAGGATAAAAATTCATTTCCAGCCCTGCCCAGCAGATCTCCTAGAGCTGCTGTTCAGTGATATTTAAATGAACAAAACAAAACATGCTCTTGAGGTTTGAATAAACCACAGGAGCCCTCCAAAGACATCAGTGCTTGGGGTGGTCCCTGCCTGCACCACGTATCCCTGCCCTGACCCAACAACTACATTACGAGGCAATTGCTCCTGGGTAAACCTTTTTACATGATGCACTGAGAGCTGCCCCCATTAGGTTTCCCCTATTTGCCTAATATGAGTGGGGTGGGGGAAGGCAGATTTGGAAAGAAAACATCGCTTTATCTGCGACTGTCTTGTTTCCCATCTCACTTGGGAGGAGAGGAAGAAAAGCTTCATATGGGCATTTTCATTCTCCAGCGAGCTGAATGATGATTTGGGGATAGGACAGGCAGGCAGCCCACAGCACCAGCTGTAGTGCCCTGTCGCAGCTTTGCTCCCTGCCTCCCGGCTCTGAGGATATTCTACATTTGGCCTGACAATCTAAATCAGGCGAGTAAAAAGAGACTCGACCATCTATACCAGGCTTTTAACACTTTAAAAGCCCTTGGAATAGTATTTAATGTTTAATCCTGAAGCCGGCATCAGAATAAAATGCACTGTGGTGTTTAGTATGTGCCAAGCATGCAAGCGCAGACAAATACTTAGATCTGCTGAAATTAGAGGAAATTCAATTGGACTTTCATATTCCTATGCAAATTTGTGAGCTCGGAAAAAAATCTTAAACGGGAAGATTTCATCTTGCTTTGCAGTAATGAAGTGGCAGTTTTTAACACCACGATAGGAGCTAACAATGCAACGCTACCTCGCCTCTCTACCTTATAGATCAGGTCAGAGAAAATAGCATTTTGTCTTATAATGAGAATACAACATTGAGCGTTCGCTACCACGTTTTAGTACTCCCATCAACTAGGTATTCTAGATCATAAGGGCAGCTCGTGTAATCATAATGTCAATGAGAAGGGCTGTTACGCCTGAGACTAAAGATTACATGGAAAAAGCTGCTTTGGAACTGGTAATTATTACCAGTCCGCTAATAGCAAATGATGCATTACAATTTCACTCTATAATCTGTATTTCACTCAGCTCCTGCCAGTATGGCCTTATTATATTACAGTGCTCACAAATTCTAAATTCCTAAACTAGTCATCAATAAATGTGTTACTTGCCATAATTTGCAAAATTACTTTGTTCATAACATCTTCAACTGTTATAAAGACTGGAATTGATTTCCTGCATGGCAAAATTGGGGCTACACTGATTTAGTGGAGTGTAAAATGTAATATTATTCTTCATTTGCTTGCCTTAAAAACAAGTTTTCAATTCGCCATCCACGTTTAGTAATCAAGATAATAATTTAAATTTAAAGTCATGTTTATGTACAAAACTTCCCTAAACAACCCACCATTTTCAAGGGAGCAACGTAAAACCAGGCAGTAAAATAAAGCAGCAAAACAGTTAAAATCCACCAGCCATTTGCCTCCACCTCCTGCTTTGAAGAGACGTGATTTCTAATTTGTCTGTTAGTGCTTGATTAATTATGAAGGCTATTGACTGACCGTATCACCACCTAGAGATAAGCTCCAGTCTGATGTGGCCTTGCCAAACTGCAAGAACTATGGCACCAATCTACATGTTGCCGATCAGCGGCGAGACGGGTCCTCAGAGTGCCATGGAAAGCCCTGGTTTTGGAAGGGACTCGCCTTTCCTTCCTCCCATCCCACCACCCTGCTATTTGTACAGCATTCAGGTCCTCCCAAAAGCCACATGGGACTGTAGGACCTGAAGGCTGTGGGTCTACCGATGTCTCCTAGCTATGGGTCAGCCTCTACATCCACATGGGCTTCCTAGCTAAAGCATCCATGCAAGACCACGGGCAAGTGAGGAAAGCACAGCAGCGAGACGAAGTAGCCAGTTCTGGCCAAGGACAGAGCTGGAGAAGGTCCCATGGGGCTCTTCATGCCTTATCATCCACCAGGGCAATGTGATGGGACATGTTATCCAAAGCAGCATTGCGACGCCATGGGGGGTTTTGACTGATTTCCAAGAGGCTAGTGGGAATCCCTCAGATCGAGATGTGAAGAGGGTCACTGCCAAACCAGGCCTCCCAGGCCACAGGCTGCAGGGCTAGAGTTCCCCTTCTTGGCTGCATCACATCGAGGAACTTAAGGTTGAAACGGATCACCAGCTCTCACTCTCTGACCTTTCCTCCAACATGTGTCACTCAGTTGTCCTGTGTCATGACCAACACAATGTCTTTGGGTCAAGCGTGACCACCTCCAGCCTTGCAAACCATCTTTAAGGCAAAGCATAAAATCTCAGTGAAAACCATTCAAACTGGCTCAGAAGACAAGGAGAGCACCCACTGCTTGCCACCACAGTTGGTTCCCATAGCTAACTACACTCACAGATGGGTACTGGGGTCCATCGGAATTTCGCTGGCCCCAATCTCTACACATTCTCTTTTTCTTTTGAGGGTTTTTTTCAGCTGATACACTGAAAAGCCCTTTGGTATGCCCCCCCACGCACACGAAGGGTACTTGTGCACCCAGAAATCCATGCACACTTCAAAATTTAGTTATTTCTCCACCCTGAAGCCACCCCTCCATCCTCCTCCACTACTCAAGGACCAGCCTAGCCCTTCTCACCCCAGCATCAAGCTGGGAAGGAGTTGTGTTTTTCCTCTAAGTCTCCTGCAGAGCTGGTGTCTTCTGGGGCACCGCACCCCAGCTCTGTAAGCACGCCCCAATTCTGCTCTTCTAGCCAAGGACCACAGCGGGCTGCACCCAACCATGCTCTCAACACACCCTGCTTGACAGTCCTTCCAGACTACCCCATAAACCCATCCCAGTTGCACTTCACCCAGCCAGACACCTTTATTTTTATTCACAACACTAATGAGCCACAACTGCATATTCATTTCTATATCACAAACAAAGTGCCAACCACCACTGCGGCTCCCACCACCTGACCTCTCCCATCCATCGATGCTTGTCCAGCTAAGCCCCTACATTCCCAAATCTGTTGGCCGGCTCCAAATCACCCATGCCAGTGCTTGGTCTTCCTATACACAATGTCACACAACCCCACATCCAATGCCTTGCAGACTCTATTCCATCTACATTTATCAACCAAAGTTGTCATCTGGAAGAATGAAATCAGGTTTATTTGACAAGATCTATATTCC